GTATTAATTTATCGATTTTGATTAGATCAAAATAATATTTCACGACGTTAGGCATCGTGGTCGGGAACCTAATGGGTCGCACACAAAAGAGAATTGGAAGACTGCAAATTGTTAATTGATTAATTTAACAATCGTTGGATAAATTAATTAATTGATTTTCTTATTTATAATTCCGAATTAATTAATTAGATTAATTAATCCACGGACCGGGTTTGATTAATTGGATTAATTAAATATTGGACCGGACCGAGCCGGGTCCATTTGGGTTTATATATATATGCAGCTAGGGTTTGAGGTCCATTAAGTCATTCATTATTCTTGCTAGCACAAGAAAGAAACCCTAGCAGTTGCTGTTTTCTCTCTGTGGTGGATTTCATTGGAGGCTGCACAATTGGACAGCTGTGGGAGGCAGATTCAAGCTGCTGGAAAGGAATAACGCGAAAGAGTTTGCAAATCACACAAAAGGTATATTTCTCATCACAGTTTTTATCTAAATACAAAGCTGAATCCTGAATGGGAATTGAAATCTGTTAAATTCCGCTGTGCATGTTTAAATCAATTCCCAACAAAAACAACAAAAAAATCAATTGAAGAATGATTAAGCAAGGTAGCAAGTTTTATATTGACCCCTTCTGTAGTTTGTCTTCAACAGCTGTAACACCTAGTAGAATTAAGTTACTTTCAATCTTATCAGCAACCGCATCAACCATTGCATCTCGATCCGCATTTAGAGAAGTCTGGGCCTTCAGAAACTCCTTCTCCCATGACCTAAACTCTTCTTCATTAAGTTCACGATACGCAACAACTAAAGTTCGTAAACCTGCTTCAGCATATTGTTTAATGTGATCCCTTATTGTAGCTTCAAAATCTCGTTCATTTCTTGAGAGCCGTTCAAACATCACACTGGATGGACTAGAAGAGACATAATCAAAGAAATAGGAAAATGAAAGATTTATACCACATTTGCACAGTAAACAAGCCAAGAGTACAGTGTTTAGGGGAAACCTGTTTGTACCCTTGCATAGGAGCAGCAACTGGTTTTCTACGTTCTTTACAATTATAGACATTCTTTTCGGAGCACTGCTGAACTCTAAGACATAAAGAAGCTTATATGATGTCAAAGACAAATACAAATAATTGATACTTTATTTTTGATGTTTGAGATCAGTCAGTAGAATGGAGAATGGAATAACAAGCAGATTTCATTTAGAAGCAAAATTGGAGACTCTGCAGGAATAAAATTTTAATTCGGAGTATGTTAAGTATTCTTTAGCGCAAGGCCACTGACAATCGTATACTTTTTCAGAGCATAGATAATTCGGATTATCTTATTGGAACCATCCCAGTAAGGACTACTCCTTAGTAACTATATTAATTTGTGGGAATTCTTTTGTCAACTAAGTATCTGTTTGTACTTTCCACATACTTTCTATTTGTTAAGGGTTGAGCTAATCGCCCATGGATAGTTATATCGACAGATTCATGTAAATTTGTATTTTTATATTTTCTTGAGTTTAAGTACATTGATGCGAGTGATATAACATTTCCATTTTATAGTGGAATCGTCCTAAAATTATACAAAATGCACTCTAGCTCTTCATCACTCACTCAATGCAAACAATCTGCATAAATCCCTGTTAAAGGTACTTCAAATAGCCAGCTATAATGCTTAAATCCATTAGCATCAAGATTGAACAACAGATCAGACACAATTCTTTCATATTAAAAACTATTACATTTTATAAGAAAAAGATTTAGATATATATTTTCAAGTTGGTGTTGCATATGATGTTCAAAAATCTTGTTATCTTTTAATTTAGATAGCTGTATCTTTTTTATTATTGTAGTAAAAAACGCATTATTTTGATCATTAGCTTTCTTCTATCAACAGTTGGTTTACCACAAAGTCCGACATATAAGATCACATGTTCCAAAACGTTTAGAATGGCCCTCTACATTGGTGTTACGTGAAAAATCCCATGTTCCACATCAGTTGCTCATGGGATACAGTGATGTAAACAACCTTATGTTGCATAATAGTTGGGTACGAATTATTTGAGTGGGTAGTCTATCGCATGATTTAGTTTAAGATCTTTGAAATCCATTAATAGTAACTCCGCACTTTAGTTCTAACATCATAATTTTAGAATTACTGAAATAAAATGAACATAAATATTTTGAAAGGATCACACCTGTCAATCTTTCTGCCACTCTGATGATCAAATTCATTTAAAGAGATGTTATTTTGGGTTGTTTCAAAAAACTCAAAGCCAAGTTCTCTTGCAGCTATGACAAAGGCAGCTTCATCTGGTGATTCAGCTTCATAGAAAATTTCACCAGATTCATGATTGTCATCCGAAATGGCCGTATGGTAGAGTGCTAGCAATCTGAAAAACTTCTGCATCACATCTGCATAAGGTTCATTAACCCAATGTCCATTCATAATGCGTTCGTCCTTAAAGTTGAAACCTCTGATTGATTTTCCCGAGTCCGAGTGGCTATCACTATACTCTTGTACATTAAAGGAAGTGTTTCCAGAGTCAAGTACTACCTCCCCTTTTTTCTTTGCTAGTGTCCTCTCTACTTCTGTCATGCCACGACCAAAAGCTATGCCAGCTATCGTACATTTAACAAACTCCACGAAATTGCATGTCAGAGTCCCTGTTTTATCATAAAGGATTGTATCAACTTGACCAAGTTCCTCATTCAAATTGGAAGTCCTTGCATGTGCTGGCTTTTCTATATCCTCATAATGCATATCCTGGTCTTGATTAATAAAAATACTCTGTAAAACCTTTACAATTTCGATAGATACATACAGTGATATTGGAATCAAATATCCATACTGTAAGTATTATGCCCTAGGTCCAATCGACTTTGGACATAAATACTTTCATATATAATTAATGCAATTAAATGGCAGATCTATTATTTAATTAATAGACAATTAAATAATAGAGTCCGTAGATTCAAATATTTGTAATTTATTAATCACAAGGAGTTGTGATTGTGAGATACAAATTACATCTGATTGAATCTTAAATCATCCGTGGTCGTAAGTAATAACGAGATACGGATATCGTTATTACGGATAGACCATCACGTGTGGCATTTCTTACTTGTGAAGTAAGTAGCTGATCTCACAAGTTAAAGTGTGGTGACACTTAAATGAACACGTGGATGTTTGTTATAGAACAAAACATTGGAGACCCGTCGAGAGATTCCACATGGATAACTATCTGAGTGTCGGTGGTTAATCTTTAACGTTCGGTAGTGAAATTGGTCCTTTGACTTGAGGTCGTCATGGTACCTTATATGAGGACGGTCATACTTTGGCGGTGTTGGATGTTGCTCTGAAAAGGGCCGCTAATACGACATCGTTCGAGTACGTCAAGAATCGTATGAAGGTTGTGATTGATCAATAAAGGATTCGTCACTCTTAGATAGTAGGAGATTATGATCTGCGTTTCATTCAATTAAGTCAATGATGAAATCCTTGGCCAAGGTGTACTCATAAGTCGAAAAGGAGTTTTCGATTTATATTGACTTAATAGTGGAGTGAAAAATATGATCGATGATCGAGATTGACACAATTCCATATCTCGTAATTGATCGGATCATATTGAAGAAGGGATTATAGTTTCACGGTAAACGAACGAATTTGGTTTTGTCATACCACGTGACATTTTCCGTCACATGTATTGCCCTGACACATTGCTAGATGTCAATCAGGGACGGCGAATGTGAATTGACGATAAATTAAAAGGGGTGTTTTAATTTATCAATTTTGATTAGATCAAAATAATATTTCACGTCGTTAGGCATCGTGGTCGGGAACCTAATGGGTCACACACAAAAGAGAATTGGAAGATTGCAAATTGCCAATTGATTAATTTAACAATCGTTGGATAAATTAATTAATTGGATTTGTTATTTATATTTTCGAATTAATTAATTGGATTAATTAATTCACGGACCGGTTTTAATTAATTGGATTAATTAATTATTGGGCCGGACCGGGCCGAGCCTATTTGGGTTTATATAAATACATAACTAGGGTTTGAGGTCCATTAAGGTTTTCATTATTCTTGCTAGCACAAGAGAAAACCCTAGAGGCTGCAATCATTTTCTCTGTGTGGATCACCGTTGGAGGCTGGACAATTGGACAGCTGTGGTGGCGAATCAAAGTTGTGGAACGAAAAGAAAAGCAAAATGATTGCAGATCTGAAAAAGGTACAATCTTATCACAATTCCTAACCAAACACAATGAGATCTATTGGATGGGAATCGAAATAATTTAATTTTCCGCTGTGTATGTATAAGTAGATTCCCAACACATACAACATAAGCCCAGTCAAGAAATGAAAAAGCAGCCAGTGCCACTCTTTTCGGGTCATAAAACACAGTAGTTTTGTCTGGTCGAAGATACCACCTCTTTAACCTTCCAGCAACAATATCATTTTTAGTTTGAATTCCAAAAAAGAAAGATCCGATAAAAGATATCAAAATTAATGTACTGAAAAGAATATATATTATTTTATCCATTTTTCTCTCGATCTGGCTCCTCTTGGAAGGAAGATCTATAGCATTCTGCATAACTTTTGCATCATGACCAGTAAAAACAACCACACCGTAGACATAGTCAGTATTTCACAGATTAGAATCTCTCAGAACGATCTGTTGCTCTAACAGAGGATGCTACTGACCGTCATAGAACAGAGTTCCAACGAATGTATACAAATCTTCATTTGGGTCCTCACATTTGACAACTACCTTAAATTACTGAAAAGAATTGTCATCATGCAGAGAAGTTGTAACCTCCAAAGCATGCTTCACCTTCATATTAGTCTCTCTATCTAGATTCTTAGTTTCAACATAACAAATCCCATCCTTATAGCTTGATGAAAGAAGAAGTAGATCCGCAGAAAAATATTCATTCTTATATACATTCACGAGATCCCCAACTTGTAATTTTTTCCATCTGGTTTCTTGAAAATTATGATTCCTAACATAAACTTCGACCTTCCTACTATTGGCCTCAATATCCTAAAAAGAATTTAATTAATCAAGATACATAAAGAAATTTAAAGCTACGTTATATTAAAAAAAGAAAAAGAAATCTTTACTCTAACAAACAACAGTACGCACAAAGGAAGGTTATGGTGCTGAGCTTTAGAGAACAAAACTCAACAAAGCTGATATGCTGCTAAATTTGTTCTAATCAATAAGTTCACAGACTAATAAAAACGTGTATTATTTTTACCGTCGTTAATATTGTCTTTGTACTAGGCACTAAAGAAGTAAATATGTGGACCATGTTGATGTGATCCAAGAGCCGAGCCAGATGAAGGTGAGTGCGGGACGAGATCCGTTGATAATCGAAGGCGGACCAATGACACAATTGAGGACAAAGCAAGTGAAACAAGTGATGAGATTGCTCGTTAAAGAAACCATTGATGGGATGATGTTCGGGACTCAAAATGGGACAAGTTTCGTGTTCGGGTCGAAAATTGAAGTGAAATGGATCAACGCGTTACAAGCGGCCAAAGAAAAGACCGAACTGCAAAACCATGCGGTTGCACCCCTTTAATGGCCTGCGGTCACACAGCCATAGTCAGGGAATTCGCTGGGGATTTCTGGGTCTACCATGCCACCTCATGGAAAACAACCATGCGGCCGCATGGTTATAAAATTTGACGCGTTTTTAATTTTTTCGCGAATTTCCTTATTTTGTTAGAATTTGATATCAATTAGATTTCTTTTCATATTTTGATGATTTTGCACGATTTTAGCTAGGTTTTTTAGCCTTAGTATAAAAATTCTTTCCATTACATTGTGTAGGGACTTTTGGCAATTATTATTGAATTCAAGAGAGGCTTTTGCTTTTTTCGAATTTGTTCTTCTTTGAATAATACTTCAGAACTTATCAAGGATAATTCCTTGTGACATTTAACACCGGATCGTGGATTCTTCAATTTGTAAGCAAGGGGTCCATTGCATCACTGTTATCTTTAGGTTCTTTGTTTCATCGTGTTGGGTTCATTCCAAACTGGTTATCAATTGACGTTCTTGGGTTCTGCATCAATCTAATTGTGGGTTTCATATTTTAAGTTGCTACGGTGTTCGCATCAGTTGGTATCAGAGTTTTGGTTCCAATTTAATCAGGTTTTATCTTTAATTTTCTTGTTAGGTTGTAGTTTTCTTTGATTTCCAATTTCCTTCCTTCTTCAATTCATTCATTCAATCTGTATTTTTCGTTGGTAGTATAATCTCTTGTGTTAGTAAAAAAAAAAAAAAAGGTTATTGTACATTCAGATTAAAAAAAAAAAAAAAAATAAAAAAAAAAAAAAAGGTTATTGTACATTCAGATTAAAAAAAAAAAAAAAAGTTACTATTCATGTCAAATTTTTTTTTTTTTAAATATTTGCTTGATTTGCTACTAACAAGTTCATATTCAAATTCCTAGATTTCAAAGTTCTCTTTCAATTCTTCAATTTTGACAATTGTTCTGTTGAAATTTTATTGAGTTTGTTCAAATTTCATTCCACTTGTTTTCAATCCCTTGCAAATTATTATCTTGACTTACGTTTCGGGTTGAATCCACAAGTTTTAATTCGGTGAGTTCATTATTGTTTTTGGAAGCACTTGATGGAAGCATTGAATGGTAGAAGGCAGAGTGGTGAGCTTATTAGAGAGTAAAAGCCAATTGTGTGATTTTGAGTAAAATTTGATGAGACGAAAATTGAGAGAATGTCTGAACAAGAAGGTTCCAACTCAAGCCGACACGGCTATCACAACAAGGCATCGGAGGATTTGATACATCGGTTTAAACTTGCTTTTGGGGTTGGATCAACAGGATGCTTGAAGGATTAAGCAGAAAGCTTGGATGACGAGGATGGATACATTGGTGGCTAATCTTAGTAGGGAGCCGCGGGCGGAGGTATCTAATGCTAGGAGGTCGGGTAGGTAGGAGCATAGGATGGAACGGTGAGCATTTGATCTGAACAGTGAATGGGATGATGAGGAGTATGGAGAAGTGTGGATGGAACGAATGAGAAATAGAGGTGGTAGGCCTGAATGACGGGTTAGGTATAATCATGGAAATGAGGCGGATGGGAACATGGGCAATATCAAAATGTCCATTCCACAATTTAAGGGGAGGAGTGACCCAGAGGCGTACTTGAAGTGGGAAATGAATGTGGAATTAATTTTTGAGTGCTATAATTATTCGAAGGAGAAGAAGGTGAAGTTAGCGGTGTTAGAGTTCATTGATTACACAATAACCTAGTGGGATCAAGTGGTTAGTACACAGCGACGGTGTAGGGAAAGATCAATTAGTACTTGGGAGGATTTGAAGACGTTGATGAGGAAGTGGTTCGCTCCTAACCACTACTATAGGGAAATTTATCAGAAGTTACAGAGCTTGTATCAAGGGTCGAGGAGCGTAGAGACCTATCACAAGGAAATGGAAATACTCATGATCAGGACAAATGTGGTGGAGGATCGGGAAGCTACCATGGCACGGTTCTTAAACGGTCTAAATCGAAAAATTACTAATATAGTGGAATTGCAGCATTACGTGGGGCTGGAGGACATGTTGCATGTAGTCATGAAGGTGAAAAAATAACTGAAGAGGAATGGGACTGCGAGGCAGCCGGTGAATACTTCATCTTCTAACCTAAATTGGAAGTCGAAGTGGGATGGTAATAATAAGGGGAGTGAAGTAGTAACCAAAGGAAGAAGTGAGTGCCAGAAAGGGAAAGAAGAAAGTGCTAGTAGGACAACACCAAAATCAGAGCCACGACTATCACGAAGCCGAGACATCAAGTGTTTCAAGTGTTTGGGGTCGGGACGCATTGCATCTCAGTGTCCTAACAAACGAACCATGGTGTTGCGGGACAATGGAGAGGCGGTAAGTGAGAGCGAAGGAGAGTATGATGACATGCCGGCATTGGAGGATATTGGTGGTGAAGATGAGACGAAATTTGCCGTTGGGGAGCTATTAGTCTCGAGGCGAGTACTTAACACTCAAATCAAGACAGATGATTCGAAGCAGCAGCGGGAGAACATATTCCATACTCGGTGCCACATCCATAATTAGGTATGTAGCTTGATTATTGATGGTGTGAGTTGCACAAATTTGGCTAGCACAACTTTAGTTGGGAAATTGGGTTTAGTTTTATTGAAATACCCTAGGCCTTATAAATTGCAGTGGTTGAATGAGAGTGGAGAAGTTAGGGTAAATAAATGGGTGTTAATTAATTTCTCAATTGGGAGATATAGTGACAATGTTGTATGTGATGTGGTGCCTATGCAAGCGAGTCATATTCTATTGGGGAGACCCTGGCAATTTGATAGGAAGGTTACACATGATGGGTATAGGAACCTGTATAGCTTTGTCAAGAATGGGAGGTCCATTACTCTTGCGCCATTAACACCGGCTCAGGTGTATGAAGACCAAATAAAACTGAGAAATGAGGAAGAAAGGCGAGCAAGAAAATCTACAAAAAGGAGAGAAGATAGTGAGCCTATGAGTAAGAGAGAAAATAGGGAATTGGCCAAGAAAGGGGAAAAGAGAGATAGGCCACATGAGAGGAGAGAAAAAGAGTCAGTTGAGCGAAGAGAAAAAGAGTCGACTGAACGGAGAGAAAAGCCAAAAGTGAACTTCGTTGCGAGGGGGAGTGAATTAAAAAAGGCTTTGAGTGATAAGAGACAAGTGTTGTTGTTAGTGTACAAGGAGGCTCTCCTTTACCTTGAGGAGTCTAACACCCACCTCCATAGCGTGGTTAAGTCTTTGTTACAGGATTTCGAAGATGTGTTTTCGGAGGAGGTGCCAAGTGGATTGCCACCAGTTCGAGGGATCGAGCACCAAATTGACTTCATACCCGAAGTTGTCATTCCAAACCCACCAGCTTATCGAAGCAATCCCGAAGAGACGAATGAGCTTCAAAGGCAAATGGATGAGTTGATGAGCAAAGGTTACGTGAGAGAGAGAGAGCATGAGCTCGTGTGTTGTGCCTGTTCTATTGGTACCAAAGAAAGATGGAACTTGATGAATGTGCATGGACTGCAGAGCTATAAACAACATTACGGTAAAGTATTGTTATATGAGTGGTTGGTTATGCCGTTTGGTCTCACAAATGCACCGAGCACATTTATGCGTTTAATGAATCATGTTTTACGTGTTTTCATAGGAAAATTTGTTGTAGTTTACTTTGATGACATTTTAATCTATATAACAAAGACCTAGGTGAGCATTTAGAAGATTTAAAGTGTGTGCTTGTTATGTTAAGAAATGAACAATTGTATGCTAATTTTAAAAAAGTGCATATTTTGTATGGATAGAGTTGTTTTCTTAGAATTTGTTGTTAGTGCTAATAGAGTAGAAGTGGATGAGGAAAAGATTAAATCTATTAAAGAATGGCCAACTTCTAAAAGTATAACTCAGGTTAAGAGCTTCCATGGTCTGGCTAGTTTTATAAGCAATTTGTGAGAGACTTTTGGCAATTATTATTGAATTCAATAGAGGCTTTTTTCTTTCTTCCAATTTGTTCTTCTTTGAACAATACTTTAGAACTTATCAAGGATAATTCCTT